GAACCCAAGGGTACTATAAAAAACCCTCACATACTTTGTATTTATGTAATATATTTGTATATACGCATATATATTTATATATAATTAATAATATCTATATATACGTATATATATATATATATATATATATATATACGTGTGTGTGTTGATTGTATGTATTTTTGTATATATGTGTATGTATGTATATCTGCCTTTTTGCCTATCTGTCTGTATTAATGTCTGTTTGTCTGTCTGCATGTACAAATGTTTGTCTTTTTGTCTGTATGCCTGCATGTATGTTTGACTATCTGTATGTATGTGTGTATGTTTGTCTGTCTGTGTGTATACGTGTATGTATGTGTGTGTGTTTGACTGTCTGTCTGCATACGTGTATGTATGTGTGTGTGTTTGACTGTCTGTCTGCATACGTGTATGTATGTGTGTGTGTTTGACTGTCTGTGTGTATACGTGTATGTATGTGTGTGTGTTTGACTGTCTGTCTGTATGCGTGTATGTATGTATGTATGTACATAAATGAAGCGTCATCTGTTATTAGGCGAGTTTATGAAGCGTCGGTCCTTTTATCAATGAATGCCAGCATTAGTAATGGCTACTGCAGCATCTGAGGTGCTAGCTACTACTACTGCCTGGAGTATTTCTCCATTTCAAGTATTTCTAATAGTAGAAGATGTAGTTGTAGCAGTAGTAGTAGTAGCAGTAGTAGTAAAAGCAGCAGCAGCAGCAAAGACAGTTGTAGTAGAAGCTGTAGTAGCGGTAGTAGTGGTCGTGGTAGTTGAGTTGGCAATAATCGTAATAGTAATATTTTATGCATTGATGTTAGTGACGTGCACACGAGCGCAACATTACAAGGCTTTTTATTTCAACACCGAAATTTTTTACCCACGTAAACATACAAAAAAAACATACAAACATACAAGCTAGTAAGCCTACATACAAACAAACAAACATACAAAAAACATACAAGCTAGCAAGCGTACATACAAAGAAACAAACATACAGCAAAAACATACAAACAGGCAATCTAGCAAGCGTACATACAAACAAACAAACATACAAAAAACATACAAACTAGCAAGCGTACATACAAACAAACAAACATACATACAAAACTACTCAAACACACACCTGCAACTAAGAAAACGACCCGTCAGCCACACGAATCGCGAGTAAATAAACACTTTTACTACTTTTACTTCAGGTCCAGACAGCAAGTCTAGTATCACTAAGACAGAAAATACTGAAAAAACCAACTAATACTGACACAAAAAAACCACTACTTCTAATTTCTAATTTTATTTTACTCTCCGCAATATTGAAGAATAGCTTATACTTTATACTTAAAACGTTATTAAATTGTCGAAACTTATAAAACAAAGGATGAATGAAGAAGCCTGGGAGGATTGTTGTTAAAAAACAACAACAATTAACACTAACATTTATTATTACTACTACTACTACTACTTCTGCTGCTACTACTACTACTAATACTACTACTAATAATAATAATACTATTACTATTACTGCCAATATTTTTGCAAAAATTGCTATAACGACCATAAGACTTTTGTCAAATCTCCTAATTTATTGAAGATTTAGATGAAGACGCCAGAAAAAAATTACTACTACTACTGCTGCTGCTACTACTACTGCTTCTGCTGCTACTACTACTGCCGCTGTTACTACTACTACTGCTGCTGCTTTTGCTGTTACTTCTACTACTACAGCTTCTACTACTAATGGAAAGAGAAAAAAAAAAGGAAACGGTATTTTTAGCAAATGAGGAGTTGAAAATTATTATACTCGCTCTGCAAATTTCAACAAAAAACTTTGAAAAATGGTAAAAAAAAATTTTTGGACGTTGTTTTTTTCGTTTTTGTATGTATGTCTGTGCTTGTATGTGTATGTGCGAGTGTGTTATTGTATATTCAGTTGAATGTTTGTTTGTATGTATGTTTGTATATCTGTTTCTGTGATATATTCAACTCCTATTAAGAACTCCTAATATATACACATCACTTTTATACACGCCGCACACACGCACACACACACACCACACGCACACGCACACACGCACATACGCACATATATCTACACGTATATATATATATATATATATATATATATATATATACACATAACAAGGCATGATATGTTAACTCATTTCTTCTCGTCATGAATTATTCAGTCATTTTTATGATTTCCGTAAAACACTCTTGGTTTTTTAGTAGTTGTGGTAGTAGTGGTAGCAGTAGTAGAAGCAGCAGTAGTAGAAGCAGCAGTAGTAGAAGTAATAGTAGTAGTAGAAGTAATAGTAGTAGTAGCAGCAGTAGTGTAGTAGTTGTAGAAGTAGTGGTAGTAGTAGTATCATCATCACAATTCTTCCTACTCAAACACTGTTTAAGAGCTTCTGAAAACATTTGGTTACAAAATCAACAACCGCAACAACAACAATGTTCTAACATTAGCAAAACTATCAAGTAATATTGAGAAATACAACCAACCAACAACAAAAGAACACGCACATACAAAAAATATACAAACATATATAAACAAACATAGAAGAAAACATACAAAGAAATATAGTCAACACAACATATTTTAATAAAATCATTTATACAAAACATACACACACGCACATATATATACACACATACATACAAACAAACATACACGCATACAAACATACATACAAATACAAAAAAACACAAAAACAAACACGAAACACAATTAATGAACAAGTTGCAGTAATATGAAACTTTGATAAATATTTTGCTGTTTTTCACGAGGTTTTGGCAGACGTAACTTCGGGCAAGCAACAAACGAACAAACATACAAACAAACATACAAACAAACAGGAATTCACACAAACATACAAACAAACATACATACAAGCACTCACACAAACAATTAAACAAACAAATATACATACATACATACATACATACATACAGGCATTCACACAAACAAAGAAACATACATACATACAGGCATTCACACAAACAAACAAACATACATACAGGCATTCACACAAACAAACAAACATACAAATAAACAACATCAGAATCAAAAAGAATAACCAAAAACATCGAAGAATAAAAATTTAGTAAAAACGAAAGCAACTACCATAGACAAAAAAAAATCAACAGCAAACCATACAAAACATAAACAACAACAATTGCAAAGATACAACAAATTTTCCGGACCCATAAACAACGAAAAAATACACCCCAGACAAAAAAAATAATGGAATGCCGAATTTTAACCAACTCTATTCGAATCAGTTAATTAAAAATTGACAATTTTATTAACACAAATGCTGTCGAGAAAACCAAAGACATTAAACAAAAATTGTAGAAAAAATTTTAGCTGTCAAATTTTTGAGAAAAAAAAACAGAAAAATTCAGAAGAAGAAAAACAACAACTTAGAAAAACGTCAAAGATCGTAAATAAAACTAAAATTCTTTTTATCTTGAAAAATAAAATAATTGTAACAACAACCAGAAAAGAAATAATACAACCACAACAACAACAGCAGCGACAACAACAGCAGCGACAACAACAGCAGCAGCAACAACAACAACAAAAGTAACAACAACAACAGCAACAACAACAACAAAAGTAACAACAACAACAGCAACAACAACAACATTTTCATTATCTACCGGCGTATCAACATCTACATCAGTAACATGAGCACCAACAAAATATAAATCAACTTCTCCCTCCAGCCATCGTCATCATCGTCGTCCTCATCTCATCATCATCCAACATACAAACAAACACACACACACACACACACAAATATACATACACGTACACACACACATACACACAAAAATACATACACACCTACTATTACATTCATCCATAAATAAAATTACTTCATAATTGTAGTCTCGCCCAATGTTGTTCCTGATAATGATAACAACGGTGATGATGATGATAATGATAACGACAACAACGACGATGATGATGATGATGATGATGATGATGATGATGATGATGATGATGATGACGGCGATGATGATAACGATGACCGTGCGATAGTCGAATTTTTTTATCATAAAAATTTTGACCATATCAATAATTGAGTTAGGGGCGGTAAATCAGGATTTACGTAAATTCTATCGTCATCATCATCACCATCACATTATGTATCATCATCATCATCATCATCATCTCGGTTATCCTCTCTTTCATCATCATTTTTTAATCATCATCGTCATCATCATCATCATGTTATCATCCTCTTCATCATCATCATCACGTTATTATCCTCTTTATCATCATCATCAGGAATAATTAGGAGAATTTCATTATCATTCTATCCAGACATGTTCATCCCGCATACTTATTGCTTACTCTCGTTTAATATCCAATCAACCAATTAGATTTAGGTATGAAAACTCAGCCGACCAATTGAAACTCAGTCGTGATATGAATCGACCAATAAAACTGTTTACTGACTCAATCAATGCATTCAATCAGCCAATCAACTTTGACACCGTAACATTTTGCGTTAATAACATAACAGCCAACAGATAGATTATGCTTTCTAAATATAACAGCCAATCAAATCGCAGCATCAGCAG